GGGAGTGGGAAAGAATTTGGTTTGACTTGAAAAATTTTGTAAATATATAAATGAAAATACATTTTGTGTTTTTGGGGATAGAACACAAGATTATCATCCACCAAAAACAGGAGAAATATGCTGTGCCTTAAAAACTTGAAACATTTCTGTGTAATTTTCAAAGGTCAAATTGCTTTAATTCTCTATATGGCCTTGTTTTTCTTGTATATCAGCCAGCATTTTCCATTGCACAGTAGTGATTTTTTTTCCTTTTCCTCCGTTTTTTGCTCAGTGTAAACAGCTCCTTGCTGTGGTTACACAGACAAATATAGCAGAGAACTCTTTTCTCAGAGAAGATTCTCCCTGTGCATTTTTTAACCATTTTTGGGAAGAATTGATCTATTTGTGCATGCGAGAGAGGGAGGCAGTAGCTGTAAATTGAAGTGACATCATATCTATTACTCCCATTGATCCACTTTTAGACTAGAGCCAGGATAAAAGGAAATGGCATCAGGGAGGAAGTATGCTCATTTAGGCACAGATCCCAGTGTGATAATGGAGTAATAATAGAAATCACGCCACTGTCAATTGGTTGCTGCATTAGTCTGAGGCAGATTTCCCCTCCAAGGAGGCTTTCAATGACTTCATTCAAATGCAGGCAGGAGCAAATGGGATATTCAACATACCAGCTGTACAACTTCAGTGATTTGTGTTCTGGCGGAGGGGTGCAGTGCAAGGGCTTGTGCTGTGGATACTCAAGTAGATATGTCTGTGTCACATTTCATGGCTGAAAGGTCAGTAGTCAAATGTTTCAGTGGCAATTTTTTTTCTAGTATGAAGGGTGAATCTGGCATTTATTGCATTTGTTAATGTAAGAATTGATAAATACGCTCTTTTGTGTGGGTGGTCTTCTGGGATGTGAGATCGATGACCTCTATAGCTGCTATACCAGATTGCTGGAGATGAAAGATTTGTTTACTTTGTGCTTTTTACAGATTATGGATTGTACTTTGAAAAATCAAAGTTTTGTTCAAAGATTATTTGTAAAAAACTTGCCAAAACCACCTTTCAAACCTACTAATCTTTATTTAAGTATAAGTATTAAGTATAAGAATAAGTGTAAGTATTGTGATACTCTTGTAACACAGTATAAGGGCTTAAGTGTTTTGTGTACTAATATGAATAAAATACAAAGTATGCTTTTCTTACTTCCAAGAGATTTAGTATACAGTGAATATCAGTTATATTTTCAATTTTTTAATATTTTCTTTATTTCTTTCATCTTTCATTTTTCAAATACAGAGCCAGTTTTGATATTCCCTATCCTTTACAGTTTGTTTTAAGTGTAATAGCCTCTTTACTCAAACTTTAAAGCCACCACATCAGGTAACTTAGGGGACGCAGGGAACAAATGGCTGTTTAGTGGCAGGACAAAGTGAACTCTTTCAGAAGGCTGAAGAGTTCGAGGAGAGGCTTTATAGTCTTAAGGGCAAGATAATATATCCAGTGCTGGGATGCAGCTTTATAGAGGGGATGATGTTTTATTACATGGGACATGGCAGAAAACTTCTAGCATGCTTGAACACAACATATTAATTTATTTTCTCTTTGTAGTGTCCATAGTCAAAGCTGGTGGTGGGGGCAGCCTTGAGAAAAGCAGTACGACTTCCATGCAGCAGGCATAGGTTGGGACAGGAACTATCTACTTTATAGTATAAATAGATGTTGTTGCAGCAGTCACTGACATAATGAAAACTATTTCTTGATCCTTACCACATTTCCTGATTGAAGCGATTTGCTTTCATAATTTTATATATTTGAATATTTTGATTGAGCATTCTCTATTCTAGTTCAGAGTATGAGTGGGTTATTTTTATTTTACTTTATTTACTGTATTTTATGAGGAACACTGAAATTTTGCATTTACGATGTTATGTTTTTTTCTGAATGTTTCCAGCCTGAAGACACAACTTGAGAGTGTGACAATTATCCTGCCGTAACTTGCTGTATCTGTGTTGTGTACTTTTCTATGGGTGTTAGATATTTAATGTGCATTCACAGAATATGAGTTGTTGTAAAGGAAAGTGGTTACACAGTGCTTGAAAAGAAATTTGCCTTTAGGTCTCTCTCAGTATTTATGTTTAGATAGCACTTGAGGCAAGGGCCTCTTTTTATTAAGCATGAGGCAAACAATTTGAAAATTGCCAACATACACCCCAAACAATTCTCCTGGTATGAAAGATGGAAAGTAACAGGTGGGCAGGACAAATAAGAATGGTGGTGGGAAAACAAAAAAACAATGAGAGTGGGGTTTCTGACAGAAAGTTCAAGTGCAATTTTTTGAAGCTTATTTATAACCATTAAAAGACTGCTGTGGTGAAAATTATATTGTTGTATCATATTGTTGTGTGTGGGGAAAAGAAAATGTCTGCACCCCTGAGTGAATTTTATAGCAGCTGGTGTCATGAAAATCTAGTTGCAGTTTTCTCTCTTGGCATAAGTCAGGGGTTTTAAGCAGAGTCTTTTTTATTGAAACCAAAGGCTAAAAGTGTAGATGGGAACGTTCCTCGTTTTGTGTTAGAAACAAGTCGGAGAACGAGCTAGCTGTGCCCACTAGAGAGGTCTGCCAGCTTTCCCCTGCCAGCGCCCCACCCTTTCTCCCGGTGATCGCTGTCTCCTGCCTTGGACTGTAACTATTCCATGAGCCTGAAACTTGTATGTGAGGTGTATCATCTTGGGCAGCTGGAACCTGGGAAAGCAGCAGAAGCCATGGTCTTATTCACAGAACCATAGAAGATGCTGAGTTTGAAGGGGCTCACAAGGATGATGGAGTCCAGCTCCTGGCCTTACACAAAATACTTCAATAGTCACACCATATGCCTGACAGCATTGTCCAAACACTTGGCAAACTCTTGGGTTTGTTTATTTGTTTGTTTTATTGGGGTTTTAGTTGTCTGTTTTACTGACTCTCAGAGTGTAACTGGTAATTCTGAAAAAATTTCAGCCATGATGTAGCACTAGACAGACGTAAATTAAGGGTATGGCTACTGCTCTGCTGTTGGTCCTTTGTTGGTTTCAATGAGATTCTGTAATGCTACCTTTAAACAATAGCTTTCTGTGGGTGAATCTGTGTAGCAATTATACTGCAGATATATTATAAAATACTCAGCTGTTCTGTATCTACTTATTAAAGCAACTGTTCTATAGCTTCTGCAAATTAAGTATTGTTCTTCTGTCTTTTTAATTAGCAGTGAAAACTGTCTAGATCAGAAGTTACCTTTCTTTGTGTAGTATTCTGCAACATTTTGTATTTTATTAGTGTTCAGAATTAATTCCGTTTCCAAGTAGAGTAACTTCCTGGAAGCTTTTCCTGTTTTATTTTTTAACTTGTCTCACCAACCCCCTGGCAACTGCTGTTGGACTCCATAATAAGCATGTAAGGTGCCATTTTAGTAGTTGTCCTGAAGTGAAATATTCAATAGTTTTAAATACCTGGCCACTTTTAACACCACCATGTGATTGGCAGGCTTTGGTATTACTTACAAAATGTTCCACCAAGAGCTAGTAAGATACGAGGTATTTTCAGTCTTCAGGAATACAATTTTACCAATTAAAATTTGGAAAAAATCAAAATGCAAAGAAGCCAAAGCATTATCATAATAGAGATGCCCTTTCCTCTTAATTCTGATTTAGGTACTAATCAGTCTAAAAGGGAAGAAAATGTCATATTGCTAAAGTGGTTATTAATGTAGATATTTTACAGAGTAAGACTTACAGAAGATCCTGGGTATCTTCATGGACTTGCTGTCCCAGATCAGGAGTCCAGTCTTGTTCAGTCCACATCAACAGCCCTGGCTGTGGGATGTGTTGTTGGAAGAGGCATTTCCTATAGCTGACTTCATTTCATCCCTGCTTAGCACAGTGACACGGCAAAGCGGACATGGGCAGGCAGCGAGGTGGGAACAGAAATGTTCCCACCAAACATTTCTCCAAATGTGGTGAAAACTGGAAGTACTGTCAAAGTAACAGGCTGTCTTTTTTCATTAGTCTGTCTCAAGAACATTAGAAGTGAGCAGGATTGGTTTCTTTTTGTATGTAAAAGCTTTACTGACATTCTTTTCCTTTTCCACTTTCTGCCCTGTGCCATGCAATGATGAATAGTAGGGAATGTTTTGGGGCATGTAAAAAACTTCTGACTGATCACCTTGGAGCCTGAATTTCCAAGAGATGTTTCCTGGCAGCTGGTGCAATTTCTCTGTGAGCTCTGTTTGAATTATTTATTTGTTCATACAATAAGCCTATTAAACAAAGCACTTAAGCACTGGCTACAACAGACTACTTGTGCTATTTTTTTTTAAGATACATCAGGTTCCAGTTCAAAATGATAGGTTCTGGAGTCAAGAAACTAACAGAAACTACTGAATATATATCCTTGTATAGATGCTATACCATATGTTCCCATGAAAGGATGGATGGTTTGTGACTCCTTGCACTGAAATATGCCTCAGAATGTGTTTTTACAATTGTCTGATGGTCACTTATTTGTATTATGTTTCTTTTTTCACTGTAAACATATGCAAATGCTTGTATATCAGATAAAAACACCACTCTAAACTGCTATATATTCATATGCCTCCTTGATTCCTCAAATTATGCACTATAAGTTATTCATTTTTCAAACCCAAACAAAATAGAATTATTTATTTTATAAATTTCATAAAAATCTTACTTATTAAGCCATTATTATATTTCAATAAGATAAACATGTTTTATATTTGACCTAACCATGGCAATGGAAACGATAGAAAACAAGTCCTAGTTGTGCCCCAGCCCAGTCTTTCAGAAAACAGACAAATAAACCCTGAGGCTTTTCAGAAACCAACTAGAGGTCCAAGTTGTGCTTAAAGCACATGCTGGAAGTACACAGGTTATCAAAATCTTGTCCTCTTTGGTTTGTTTCCACTTACATTGCTCAGCCAGTAGAGATCTTCATTCACACAAGGCATTTATTTTTCTTTTAGCTTCTCCCTGATCAGCTGGTCTTACTTCTGGAGTTCCTCTTGGAGGAGAAGACATTGTGTCCTAGAATACTGCAGTGCTTAGAGAGAACATACCAGCTCCGGGAGCAAGATGCTGAGGTAAGTCACGTAAAAACAAATCTCTCTAATGTACACTGCTGTTGTTGTTGACTAGGAATGACAGTGTTCCACTAGGAACCAGGCTCACTGCAGTTTTGTTTTTTTTTTTTTTTCATGTCTGAATCTGTAATTGAATGATCTTAACTCCAGTATCGTTGCATCTTCATGTGCCATAATGACTGTATTTCTGTGTGTTTTGTGTAGGCAGGTTCAGGTGTGTTTTGCATGCTGTGGTAGTAAAGTACAGTGCAACCCAGATGTTCTAACTATTTTACATGTACCTGAGGCAGCACATCTGTTCAAGTGTTAAATTTTTCACAATGTTTTTCTGTGTAGTGGAGCCCAGTTTGTTTTTGTTGTGATACTGTCTCCAAATGTAATCATGTCTGTTATAGTCTAAAATTATTTTTCCCATTGTCGGCTCATATTGTTCCTCTTTGCATGCTCCAAAGGCTCACTCAGGATTTAGGAAGTTAGCTTTCCAGAGAGACTACAGTGTTTTCTGGTTTGAGGACTTATTTTAATATTTTTTGTAGTTGCTTCTACTAAGTGCTGGTGACATTAACAGACTCTAAGGAAAATACTGCTTTATATGATATCATAAAGGGTAGCATCCTTGCTCCAAAGTGCTTTATATCTTTGGGAGGCAAACCAGGAAATCTTTATTACCATGTGCAGAGAGGACTCTTAAGTCCCATGGCTTTCTCAAGCTGGGAGAGTTCTGAAAACTAATGCAGAAGTGGTGGCTGAAAGCACCCTTGCAAACAGCCTTTGCTTCAAGTATGTAGTATTCAGGATAAGGTAAGAAAGTCAGAGATGCAAGTCTCAGAAAGGAGTCTAGAGATGCATGTGTGTGTATATATATATATATATGTATGAAACAAGGGTTAATTATGATGTAGCATACCACCAAGCTATTGTGCAATGAAGGAGTATGGCGAACTTAACATTTGGGTCCTTTTTATTTAAAAACTACCTTGCAGAAGTTTGGAGAAAGCCAGTGTGCTTGACTTAACCTGTTATTCTTGGAATTTTGTGGCAATTCTTAGACTTGAAGGAGAGAGCAAAATCTGTCTTGTTACTTTTACGCTGAAGTTGTTATGTGGATGCTTGGAAAGACTTGGAAATCCAAACCTTAATGTAAAGATTGATAGAACAGATGTCTACCTTTTTCTCAGAAAAAAACAAACCAAAAAAGCAACATTTCAATTGCTGCTGTTTACTGCACCTTTTTACTTTTTGTTGGTACAGTTTTCCAAATGCCAGATTTGTTTTCAATTACTACTTGAACCAACATTTCTATTTATAGGTAATAGAATATATTTTAATCACATCTGAATACCAGTGAAATGTCAGTGGCTCTATTATGGGAAGAGGAATTAACAGGGACATAGATCAAAGCAATAGCTGTGTTGTTGCTGTTTCATGCCTATGAATTGTAAGCACTAGGCCACAAGCTTCAGTCTCTCAGGTTTTTCCTTCCTCTTCATTTTCATGCTTTCTTTTTTCCTTGCAGTGTTAACGTAAAAGTACAAAATCTATTGGAATGTTTTTGTGAAAAACTTCCACAAACCCTCAAGATTAGGACCTCTATGAAATGAACATAATCTGTATTTTATTTTACAAGGTGAAACCAAGGGTTTAGCAGACAACTCACTTAGAAGTACAACTAAGATAACATTACCATTAACATTTTACCCCAGTCATCAGACCCCAGGAAGGCGGACCTACAGTCCTTTAAAGGGAACTAGCTCCCATGGCCTCACCTACCTGAGGAACAGATTATTTGTGCCTCATTCTCATGTATGTGCACAAGGGATTTTTGTTGTTGTGACCCCGGGGCAAAGAATTGCAGTCTGAGCCTGTTCTTGTCTATATTTAATTTGTGGATACACAAATTACTTAGAGTGGTCCTGTTATATTACCAGTAGCTAAACATCAGAAATGGATTATTAAAAATAAAAACATAAAAAACTTGCAAGCAGGCCAATAAAAAGAAAACTATGAATGTCAGAGGGTTTATTCCAGAATTTTTGGAAGTGAGGTTGCCAGCTGTGTTCCATCCAATAGCAAAAAGTTAAGAAATAAACTTGTTTTCTTGTTTTTGAAAAGCATCATTTAAATTCACAATCGTCTTCCAGTAGGGATAAGCAATGATAGAACCAATAGTCTGAGAGGGTACATACACAAAGGAGTGTGGGTTTTTATGTATTTTCACAAAGTTTGGTCTTAAAATTTGTACATAATAATTTTGAAGATTATTACTGGAAGCCTATCTGTTCTGCACAAGTACAGCATGAAAGGCCCTTGTTTATATTTCTTAAATTTGTTCTGTCTGTGTGACTGAAGCATCTTTATTTTGATTTTAAAATTGACCATGCTTCTTGTAGTAAAGCATTGCACACCTGGTGGCATCTGCACCTGCCCACAGCAAAGTGTAGGTCTGTCCCCAACCAGTGAAGCTGACAACAGCACTGTTTGGTACTCCTGGGCATTTGTTGCCATGTGCACGTCCAGACTTAACAATCTAGGGGTACATGTTGCTTCAGAAAGGAATGGAGGGTTTGCAGCAGGTTATCTGCCCTGTGTGGATTCCTTTGTGTCAGTCAGGAGAGGAGAGAGGTCAGAGTTAGCCTAGGCCTGGAATGTAAAGTTTGAGCTCTCTTGAAGAGATCTCCTCACCTACTCACTCTCCGCTCAAATTAGGTTTCAATGCAGATACATAGTCTCTGTGTCTATCTTCCTACTAGAACAGACATTTTAATGCTTCTTTTATCAAACAAAAAATAAATCATTGGTTAAGTAACATATTTGTGATTCATAATGCATAACTTTGGAGCCACAAGAGCCAGAACTGCAGATGGCTTAATCACATTTCAGATTGGTCTGCTCCTAGTTTGGATGCCAAGATAGGCTTGTAGAGTATCTGCCAAATTGTAGAATTTGTGACTCCTTTCCACTTCTTGCAGTCCACTTCTGTAACAAATTGTTCTTTCATTTTCCATTTACTCCTTAAACCTTGGAACATCTGAAAAGACACAAAACTACAAGTTTGTTTTCAAAAGATTAAGTTAATTGATTCGAGCTGTTTGAATTGAGCATATCCAAGAGATCTTTTTTTTTAAAAGCAATGAAGGTTTCAAAATTTAAAGCCATTTTTCCATTTTTCTCTCCGTGCCTTCAGCTCATTGTGGCTCAGCCAAGTAGTGTCAGACAAGTGGGAAGCAATTCCATTGAAGGAGGATTGTGTCCTCAATTTTCTTATCCTGTTTCCCCTGTCTTGTTGTGTTGCTTCCCACTACATAACAGAATAACTCATGCACAGGCTACATCTCCATGACATATCTGGAGAGAAGCATTATAGAAGCTGGCTGCATTTTGAACATGACAAAGTCCAGCTGTAAGTTCAGCTGACTGAGGAGAAATGAGGTATGTTATAAAGCAGCATCTACAGCTGCCATCAGACAACACAGTGGGATAACAGAATTTAAAGTGGGTCTGGGGTAGTTTTTGTTTTGTTTCTTCCCAAACTGGCTGTTTTGGCAGCTGTTTCATTTATTCAATATCTAGCATCTGGCAGAATGTGGAAAGTTGGTCTCCACATTCTCTCTGAAAAGTTTTGGCTGTCTAGTATTTCTTAAAATCTGTCTTAACCTTGATGACACCTCTTCTGATAATGACAGTGCAATTTTATCTCATTTGAATAAACTATTGAGAACTTTCAGATAAATAAAGTGGAGTCAATAATTTACAAAACACAACACCACGAGATCTTAGTTAACACTCAATGAATCTCTTAGCTAGATGAGCCCTCTCATTACTCGCATTATTTCTGTTCTTCATTTGGCCAAAGGCCTGTAATTTGTGGGCACACAGGGACACAGAATGGCTGAATAGCCTGCAAAATAATGAAAAATGTGACAGGAAGATCACAGCCATAGGAGAAGAACAGTGGGTGTGACACTTTCAGTCCTATTTAAGACTTGATGATATTTCTGCAAGTGTGTTTTACTTATTGCTGAATTATCTAAGAAGTGGTGATAAAAAATACAGAATGTGCATGAAGCAGAAATATTTATGGTGTACTTCCCCAGATTTCTCACTGCTTTCCTTTCTTTCCTGCTGTAGATACCACTTTTATCTTGCCTGCACAGCATATGGGAAGTTGCTTTGTTGTGTTTCCTTGTCTCAGCAAGAAGACTGAAATGCTCTTCACTTACATAATGCTTTCCCTATATTTTAGATCATAATGTAGTGTATTCTGGGGAGACAAGAGAAATTAGAACATTTTCTGCAGTAAAAGTGAGTAAAATGAGTTAAGACCATAATATCATCAGTCATGTGGGTGGCATAAAGCTATTCTCACACAAATACTTCATTGTGCATGAGGTCTGCCAGAGTGACCAAGGCTATAAAGTGGTGGCATCTTATTTCACTGACAGAAATGCAGTCATGCTAATACAAACCATCTAAGGTGCTTGGCATCCTAGAAGTGAGAATTCTGTTAGAACAAAATAACTTTGATTCATTGATCTTTCCTAGCCTGTGAAAAGCTGGCAGACTTGGAAGTACAAATAAATTCTTGTCATTTCCCATCTGATAGTGACTGTGTTTAGCTGAGCACATTCTCAGGTTGCATTATTCAGCTGTCCTGCTGGTTGTGGATGGGCATTGTTTGAAGGCACACTTATGGAACAGAGCTCTGTAGACAACACTGTAAAACTGTGTGGGAAAAGGGAACTACTTGGGAAAGGTCAGTGCACACTTGCAGAAGGCACTTGGTGAGCTTTCCTTTCAGCACAGCCACTGGGCCAGTCCCCCCTTGGGGAAGGGACTCAGAAGAAGCAATCTCCAGCTTTTGAGTACAGTTAGTAATGTATTGCAAATATCTCCACAGGCTTGCCTGTCCTTGCTGACTGTACTGTGTAAAACAGGTAGACATGATTCAGATAGTAGCACTGCAACCACAGGGGGAGAACCATGGTTCTTTTCCTTAACTG